TGACATACGGAACTGAGACGTGGTCATTCACTGCTGGCCGGATGAGGAAGCTCAAGGTCGCTCAGCGAGCTATGGAGAGGGCTATGCTCGGAGTTTCTCTGCGTGATAAACTCAGAAATGAGGATATCCGCAGTAGAACCAGAGTGACCGACATAGCCCAACGGATTAGTAAGCTGAAGTGGCGATGGGCCGGCCATATAGCTCGAAGAACCGACAACCGATGGGGAAGAAAGGTTCTCGAGTGGCAGCCTCGTACCGGCAGGCGAAGTGTAGGGCGTCCCCCCACTAGATGGAGTGACGACCTGGTAAGATATGCAGGAAGTCGATGGATGCAGGTGGCTCAGGACCGTGCTTTGTGGCATTCTTTGGGGGAGGCCTATGTTCAGCAGTGGACTTGTGAAGGGCTGTAATGATGAATGATGATCAAAAGTAATACTTATATGAAAAATAAAGCAGCCATTATGTACTCCGTGTCCCTATTATTTATTTCCCCATCAAGAAATTTTATAAAATATAAATAGGTATATACTTAGTTCAGTATCTACTTATTTATTTAACAATATATTAAAAAAGAAATTCCGGGAAACTGTCCATGGCAGTAAATATTTTTCTCCAAAGATCATAACTCAAAAATACAACTCTCCGATCTGTTTCTTGGGGAGTGTTTTTTAAGTTTATCGGTATTCACTTGGGATTTTTACATTTGAATTAAAATCCAACAAAAGGTAAGTAGGTTCTGCTTATTCCCAAGAACATGTTATATGAATACTTTTTTATTATTTTAGTACTAGCATGGTAAACATTCAGTAAATTTTTGAAGTTATACAATTTCGTGCGCTTAGCTATTTTTTTTTTAAATATTTTGCCGCTTCCTTAACAATCATTTTTCGATAGTCCTTGTAAGTAAAATGCACATCACTAACTAACGCATACAATGACAAATCAAAATTAGTCACGCGTTTTCGGCCTGTCAGGTCGTCTATACGCCAGTATATTCTAAGTCTATGGTACTTACACATTTAAAATGAGATTTAGTCAGCGGCTCTCTTTTGCGTTGGATATAAAATGAAAACGTTAATTTTAGTCCATTTTTTTTGTGCTTAAGCTGTTACCTTATTTAAAAAAGGAATGAAGTTTCTCTTTATCGCTTGAAAAATTTTCTCCCCTTTAAGGCTAAAATTTTGCTTGTACAGTTACTTCTTTTTATAGGATAAGGGTGACAAACGAGCACACAGTCCACCTGATGGTAAGTGGTTGCTGCGGCCCATAGACATCTACATCATTCCTCTATTACAAATCAAAATGCAGATGCGTTGTCACACGTAAGGACTAACATGGAATGCCTTATTTCCAGTAAAAAGGGCCTCCGGCCACCTGCACTCACCAAGCGAAACGCAGAGGTAAACCTCTACTTCACGCTGGTATTCTGTGAGGTCGTGGTACAACCCCGGTTCGAGCCGGCCCATCCGTGCGACAGAAAAAGCCGCCACGTGGCTCTACCACTGTTGAAAATTATTACTTATACTACCGATCATTGATTATGCTGACGTGTGTTACTCGGATTTAAGCCAAAATCTTCTTAACAAGCTAGAGCGCCTACTAAACAATTGCGTCAGATACATTTTCAATCTTCGTAAATTTGATCATATCTCTCACTATCGCTCTCACCTTAAATGGCTCACTATGTGAGCAGATGAGAGCGAGCAGAGGCGTCACTCTAGAATTTTGCTTGTTCTCTTCTCTATCTTAAATGATCCATCCACTCCTTCTTATCTCAAGGAGAAATTTCAGTATATTTCCTCAACGCATGATAGAACTCTGCGGTCCTCATATAATAATAAACTAAGTATCCCACTACATTTTCCTAATTTTGTTGGTAAATCCTTCACCATTCAGGCTGCACTGCTCTGGAACTCCTTGCCCGATGACGTCAGAAATACATCTAATAAGACTGCCTTTAAAAGATTGGTACACAAGCACTTTAATGATAGTTAATATGGTCAATTTGGTTATGTACCTTTGTCGTTATTTTATTTATCGGTTTATGTTATATATATATTTGTATTTATAATATGTATATATTTATGTATCTATGTATTTGTATGTAAATATAATATATTGTCTGTATTATATTTTATAGTATATAAGTTTATTGTATTTATATATATAATATTAGTTTATTTTTAAGTTTATCAGTAGTTTTTTTTCCTTGATTTACTCTATTGATCATTTTATTTTGTCACCTATCACTTAATTTCCACACGTCCCGGGTTGACTGGGAAAGAATGCCTAAAGGCATTAAGTCCGCCCTTTGTAATCCTTTTATTAAGGTGCAATAAAGTGTAAATAAATAAGTAAATAAAATGAACATAATGCGGAAAGTCAAATCATACCGGGTTGATACTGGGCTCAAGTTTTTTACGTAAAATGCTTGATCACGAAAAAACTCTGAAGGTGTATTGGGCTTATCTGAAGACGTATTCCTCATTAGTCCACGATGAATCGTAAATGATTTATTGTGGTAATCAAATCAGCATCGCTGTGTTTCCTTCCATTAAAAAAGTATCGCGACAACCAGTGGTGGCAGCTGGCTGAATAAAGTTCTCTCCGGACTGAAGTGGACTGCATGTAGTGGGCATCATAACGAATTCGGTTTTCTTCGGATAGGGTCCGAAAAGATCAAAGATCCGTGTGCATATAGTCGGAGCCATATAGGTAAATTTGTTTTGGGCTAATATGTATTATATATTATAAATTTCCAGTATATATGTTTCCAATTATCTCAGCGCCGTCTTAGACCCGTTGGGGACTGGGCACTTTAGGATAAATGGGGCCACTATGGCTGTCATGGCTATTAACAATAGGCAATAGAAATGGGAGTAGGAAGTGGGGGCCTCATGGATACCGGGGCTCTGGGCACTTGCCCAGTGTGCCCATGCGCAAAGATGGACTGAGTTATCTACTATCATCATACGAAGCACATCAGCATATTAAAGCTGCTATTTTCCGCTGGTACTCTCTAAAAGCTTGATCCTTTCCCTAATTGTTATTCGTTATTATCTATTAATATATTACTTATTAATATTTATTACAATTTAGGATACCTAACTATTTCGAGAATTTAGTATGTACTAGGAACTTCCCTCTATCTTTGATTCTTATTTACATTTCATCTTAGCATCAAGCTTTTGTTTTTGTGTCAGTCAATGATGAGAAATAAAGACAAATTTTTAAAATTTTTTTTTAAATAAATAAATATTTGCGTTTGGATAATAAAACCGATATTATTTTAATGTAAATATGTCTAAAGTAACTAACCTAACACTTACCACATGATTTTTCATTGAAATCCAGCCCATTTTAGCTCGAAATTATTTTGATTTCACTATTCGTGATTGCAGATTTATGACTGTTGAATTTGGACGGTAACACGTATAAAAAAGCTTTTAATTATCGTCACCAACGTCACATAATTGGAGTTACTTGAATTTGTTAGGTTATGTTATTCTACGAGATCTCTTCTCAGACTGATTGAGTGGGAGGCTGTGCGCATTGCGGTACTGTTCGTTTGAATTATCTTAAGTCTGTTTACAATATCCAAGTTCTAACTAGATTTTCAAACCAAAAATATTTTTTTAATACCTAATCATGTTTTATTTTAACTTCGTTTCATATTACCGTTATTGTATTAATCGATGTTCATTTGTGTATCAAGGCAATAATAAATTTAAATTTTACGTATATATTTTTTGTTGGTGTAATATGAATGACCGACTGATTTTTCAGCTAAATTCAGCGCGAAATTTTAAAAATATTGATTTAAGACGCGAGAAATATGCCGCATGTGCACGATAGTCATAAGTACGCATGCGTTCAATATCTAGAAATAAGGTGCTAATGGATATTTATTCTAAAAAGTTTTCATGTCCTGTATAAATAAATATTGTTACAATACATATTATATAATGTAAGTTCTGTAAAAATATTGTAACTGTATTAATATTGTTACTTACGTTAGTCAAGCGTGGCAACTATGGCAAATATTCAGCGGCGGACTTTTGATAGGCAGTAATGATGATAATAATGATGTTGATTATTAGTGATAGGTGTGTTTTATTGGTGATTTTTTTCTCGTTTCAATCAGTTCGATTAGATCTTTAAAATAAACATAAGTTTGACTTTTTGAGTACACTTGCGGAGCCACACACAGCGGTAACAAAATCATTCATTTCCATATTCTTACCACATTGATTACCCCTTTCTATACAGCATTTGTGTAACAGGAACAACTCAGGCTGACATATCCTTGTAGGATACAAGCCTTTTTAAATATAGATAATAAAAAAAATATCTCCGAAAATATGAATGCTAGTTTAATTAATAAAAATTGATTAATAACCTTAATAAATGTAATATCAGTTAATGAACACACAGGGGCATTATTTTTGCCGTTATGTGGACAGTATGCTCATTAGGTTAAGGAAGAACCTTTATCTTACTAGTTTAAAAAAATAAAGTAGCTAAGATATTTTAAGGTATTTTTAATTTAAATCTAGAATTAGTAAAAACACGATACAAACACATGGTCAGCAAGCGCTTACGACCTTTAGACCGGCGAGTTTTTGCCAATAATAATAGGATAAACGGAAAGAATGGAAGTTTGTTTAATAAATAAGTAATTCAATTAATTTGATCTGCAGAAATGAAAGATTATTACAAAATTAATATGCATCTTAAAATGTATGAGGTTAAGTACTTTAAGTACTTTATTGATGCATTAAATAATGATTAAAATAATTTACGGATAATTGACTCAAATTAATTACAAAAAAAAAAACACCGAAATAATTGTAGATATATATTTTATACGTTTTATGTATCTATAGATTTTAACTATTTAAATCTATACAGAAGATATTGGCTGAAAATGATAAAAATATACAAAAAAAAACCTACACAAAATTTGCATAATTGAACATGACACTTGTAAATCGACTTACCTGGGCTCTGACTGCGGCTAGGTGCAACTGTGTAGCCCTGTAGTCGTACTTCTTCAGTGACAGATCCTCCTAAAATGGTATTAAAGTGATTAGTTGTTGATCTTAATGCCTTTATACGACTGACGTATACATCATTCTTAGTAATATTTTGTCGCATTTATTTACGTGGTATAGCCATGCAGCAGCTATTAGTAGTATAGTTGTAGCACGAATGGGTCGGCTCGACCGGGGAAGGACAACACTCTCACAGAATACCAGCGTAAAATGGCTAAAATGGCAGCTTAACGCTGCTGTGTTTCGTATGGTGAGTGTAGAGAACCGCAGACCCATTTTACTGGAAAAGAGGCATTCCATCTTAGTCCTCACGGGTGACGACGCATCGGCATTTTGACTCTTTATTGAGGATAAATGTAGATGTCTATGAGTCGCAGTAACCACTTACCATCAGATAGACTGTGTGCTCGTTTGTCACCCTATCCTATAATTACCGTGTGCACCGTGGCAGTAAGAGTATTGTAAATGGTACCGTGGGTGTCGTAAGAGGATACAGATGCAAGCTGACACAGAAGACTGGCAGCAGTACTTTTTTTTATAAAATTGAAGTGACAAATATACTTATAATAAACCTGGCGGTAAGTGGTTATTGAAGTTCATGGGCACATGCAGCCAACTTCAAACAAAGAAGGCCACAGATGTGTAGGTAGTTGCCTCTGAGGGCTAAGATGGAATCCCTCTGAGCCTGTAATTCTATTGACTCTCTGTATCAGACCGGAACACAGCTATGCAAGCACTGCTATTTAGCAGATATATGTAGGTAAGAGAGTGGCACATACCTAGACGGACTCCAAGGCAATAACGGAGTCCTAACTCTTAGTAAAATCTTACTGATATCGGCCATATGAAAAAAACTGCGGTTGCCAACTCGCTTGCCAAACTTGGCTACTATGGCAAACATTTATTCCATGAGGCAATATACGGAGGAGGCATATTCTATGTTCAGTAGTGGATTTTGATAGGTTGTTATGATTGATGAAAGATGATGTCGCATAATACGTTATTGGTTTAGACAATTTTATTCAGATGTTTTGTCTTAGGTATCATTTAAGAAAACGACCGAATGTTTATTCTATTAGATGAGTGTGTTAAAACGTCAACAAAATACAGAAAAAAATCCTAGTGGAGCAGTGGTAGTGTGTAGTAGATAAAAAACTAAGTAATTTACATAAGAGACATCTACGGGAAAACAGAAATACACAGCAAATTCTGTTAAACACAACATTAGCTTTAATTTATTTTTCAATACGATAGATGTCCCTAGTTTAGCTATGAGCTTCTCTTAAGTTTCTAATATAGATGTCGCCTTAGACGTTAAATATTTTGTTCTTGCCTGTTAATATTGTTAGGTATCTAAATTAGGAGGGATAATTTTAAGTTTTAATAAAACTGGGTTACTAACATAGAGTATATCGGGCTTATTCAAAAACACGGTCTAAATATAGTACATGGATTGACTAGGTTTAGAGCGTGAACTATATAAAACGAATTATTTCTTAGTCAAGTGTTAACTGTGGTAATAATAACAACTTGACCTCCACCTATAATGAAAAAATAGCCAAATACACTGATTTATCCATCTAAATAAAATTCCAGTGGAAAGTAAAAACTGTAAAAACTGTACTAATTATAATATCAGCAACTGGCGTCATTCCCCATTCGCTTTTTTCTAGCTTAAAGGAGCTAGACATCCATAAACTTACCTTTATATTGCTGCAGAAAGGAGCAATATTGAATACTTGTAGAATAGTCCGTAAGTTTCTGTCTAAAGATTAAACATTCAACCGAGTTCGTTTGCCTAACAGCCCGCGAAAAAGGTATAATACCTCGGAAACGAGAGAATACTAAACAGAAAGAATAATAACAATAATAATAATGCTCGAAAATGACCGCGCCAGGCTCCACTGGGACCGGGCCCTCATCACAGTCAGGACTATTCTTGCGAATAAGCCTGATATTGTGCTGATGAACCGTGCACAGTCAAGTAAATTTTTTTCGACATTATCATATATACATGAGAACCTCGTGAAAGCTGAAATAGATAAGCAGACAAAATATTTGGACCTGGCTCATGAGGTGACCGACATGTGGTGTGGTCTGCCGACCGAAATTATTCCTGCTATGAACGGGTTAATGCCAGTCAGCCTCTCAGGTCATCTGAGGCGACTGGGACTCCGCGACGGACCGTTCCGGGCTTTCTTTCCAACCCTCGGCCGTATTTATTTTATTTTATTGATATTTATGTACCTATATTTATCATTATCATTTACATTTATATATTTATGCAGCCCAACTAAATGAGAAAACTATATAGATACCCCACAATAATAATAATTAATTTTTATTGATAAAAATAAAGATATAATAAATAATGAAGATGACATATTATGATTACAGTACTAAAGTAAACCTACTTCCGAGACCCCTAGTTTATCTATAGGACTAACATCAATTTCGGTACTACTTTATTTGATTTGACTAGTACCTACTAACTTTGGTACAAACGGGTCCTAGGAAAGTCTTCGTTTTGTAATAAGCGCACTTTTTGTAATACTGTAACAAACGTGGATTTTAAGTAAACCTGTATATGTAGTTAAACCTGTTCTAAATAATTTTTTTTGGAAAATGAGTTATAAGTTTAAGTTACTAAACTCTTCAAACTATTTTACATAACATTTCATTTTATAATGCGTATCTTAGCTAATAATTTTGAAAGAAATACCGTGTGCTGAAGGCGTAAGAGAAACCAATTTCGCATTTCGTTCGCTCGTATTCGCTTGGTTAGATTATAAGCTTAAAAGGCTTTGTGGAATACTTGCCTTACTATATAAGTTTAACTATTGCGAAAATCTAAAAGCGACTTGAAAGAACTAAAATAATATTTTTTTATAGAATAAGAGTGACAAACGAGCGCACAGTTCACCTGATGGTAAGTGGTTACTGTAGCTCATAGACATGTACACTTATACTCATTTGGGAATTAAAATGCAGATGCGTTGTCAGCCGGGAGGACTAAGATGGAATGCCTCTTTTCCAGTAAAAAGTGTATCCGGTTCTCTACACTCACTATACGAAACAAAGAAGCATTAAGCTGCTATTTTATGCTGGTATTCTGTGGAGCGTGGTCCTTTCCCCGTCGAGCCGACCCATTTGTGCTACAACTATACTATTAATATAGTTGCAGCATGGCCCTACCACGTTTAGATGTAATTGTGCTAAGATAAAGTGTATAGACCCTAGAATATAGAATTAAAACCCTTCAAAAGCTTTCATGTGGAAATTATTTTATCTTATTTGTTTTTCGATGTCGATTGTTGCTTTTTATCAAAAGTACAATGTTTTCACCATTTTGAGTGAACTAAGGAAATTCAAAATGGTAAGAAATACTCGAATCATCTAAACAGTTGCATTAAAAACTTCGTGACCTATTTTCCAACACGTAGGGGTGCAAATTTTCTCTCCTTATGGAACACCCCTGAAGCAACCCAACCCTAAAACTCTCCCCTAAATTAGAGGAGGCCTCTACTCAGAAGTGGGACGTACGATATGAGCTGTATCTTTAGTTTACTTTACTTACCGTTGAAATATAACCTATTTAATAAAAAGACAACCATTTTAATCGGTTTGGCAATTGACGAAGATATCGTTTAAGTTTAACATATGTACTTACAAAGAAGGATGAAAACGTAGGTTCCAATTGGGAAAATTTTCTTTTTAACCCATCCCTAGATAAGATAGCAACCTTTCTGGTGGTTACGACACCCCATTTCAAAGAAGGATGGCCTTAACCTAAAATTTTGTCATACATGGATATTTTGTAATTTTTAGAGATTGTATCTTGAACATAAGATTTTAATTATATTTTCTCTAAAATGAATATACGAAGATGTTAGAAATATGGCTTAATTATTTATGATTAATTTTGTGTTAGGCGTAGCGTAGTATTTTAATGATGTTGTGCTTCACTGTTGTTTTATAATTTTATTTCAAAATTAAATAGGCTGGTGAAAATATCTTACTTTATAGTTACAACTATGTACCTATATTACAGACGGCCTAATGAGATTTTAATTAAATTGTTAATATATATTGCAAGAATACTTATTGCAAGTCATTTATGCTTTTACAACTGGTTTGAAAAAAACCTCTGTCCTGGGAAGAACCAACAAGAAACCCAGCGGCACTCTTTTTTAAACATTAATTTACAATATTATATGTTTTATAATTAAATATGAAAATATTTAGAAACAGCATGGTAGCGATAAAGCTAAATAAAAAAAAAGTATATTATCTCCATCTTCAAGGAAAAGAAAACTATGCGATCCGGATCATATGAAAAAGGCAATTGAAGCACTGAGGACGATGGTCATGGGCTATGAAATAGCTGTAAAATGTTTTCTTTAGGTACCAAGATCTACACTGAAACGATTTCATCAACAACCTTTGGAGATACTCTTGCATAAACCACTTGGTATAATGGGCTTTTTAAGAAGTCACTAAAGTGAGGGGATTCGCAAGTTTCTTTTACATTCTGACTGAATGCTGAAGCTTTACGATATTGCTGATCGATTTGGCCGGGCATATCTTAAGTAGATAGGAGTGGATTCAACGCTAAAGTGAGGTAGAGTGCAGGTCCTAAAGGCGAATTATATCTGCGATTTTTGCCGTTAGGTGTTAATAAAACCCTCACTGGATCTCAAGTTGCCAAATTTAAATACTTTTAGAATATAATTGTTTTTAATTATTTTGTCGCAGTTTCATTTATGTTCCATAGTCAAGCATGTATATACAAATAAATAAGGAACACTATAATGTTTTTATTATTTATCTGAGTCTGACATTTTTTATATAAAGTCCCAAATACAAAGAAGGGGATCATATTACCACATTTTCCTATATAATTTTAGTGTCTAACTGTACTCTTAAGAATACATGTGGGCGCGATTCGATTTTTACGTCGTATGAAATGTGAAAAGAACCCGTTAGATGATTTATTTTAAGTTTAATTATTTCTTATTTAAAAAACTATACATAGAATCGATTTAAACAAAATTTCATCAGGTGTTCACATGTGAATGCGCGGTGAACTTTTTCTGCCCAAAAAACCTCTCAAAAAGAAGAGAAGTTTTGTAACCATCAATTGAATTTATGTTGAATGTTACTTTTTAAATTACACAAGTTTGCGCGTTTACCGCTAAAAAGAACCCCTTTGTCGTATCTTCTCAGTTTCTAGGCACTTTTCTTGCTGCCTCAGCCAGTATCGGAATCCTCGGCGTTGACATATCGAGTGACGTGCAATTTCGTGATCACTTGGAAGAGAAGCTCAAATTGGTCTCTAAAAAGCTTGTCGTGCTCAGCAGAGCGGGATTTCATGCCAGCACACCGCTTGCAATTTTACAAGGCGCAGGTTCGGCCTCACATGGAATACTGTTCCCATCTCTGGGCAGGGGCTCCCCAGTGTCAGCTCCTTCCACTTGACCGCATCCAGTTCAAATCCGGTTCGAATCGTCGACGACCGAGTTCTTTACGATCGGCTTGACTCATTGGCACTGCGTAGAGATGTTGCATCTCTTTGCGTATTTTATCGCTTCTATCACGGGGAGTGCTCTGAGAAATTGTTCGGACTAATTCCAGCCGCTCAATTTCACCATCGCACATCGCGACAAAACTCGCGATACCATCCATTCTATCTGGATGATTGGCGGTCCACCACTATGCAATTTAGAAGTTTTCTTTCTCGCACAACTTACTCGTGGAATCGATTACCATCAGCGATTTTTCGGAACTGATACTTATGGACCTTCAAGAAAAGAACCTACTATTTTTTAAAAAGGCCGGCACCGCATTTGCAATGCCCTGGTGTAGCAGTTGTACATGGGCGGTGGTAGTCACTTACCATCAGGTGAACCGCATGCTCGTTTACTTTTACTCCAATAAAGAAAATTGGTACTCAAATAAATTGTGTAACAAGAATATCATATTGGTAAGTACCTATCCATCGTACGGTGACACTGTAACATGCTTAATCCAATCTCGAGCCATATACGAGTATATAATTACCTTGAATGTTGACTGATGCCTGGTTTAATTTTTTTAGATTTTCTGTTTATATAATAGGAGTAACAAGCGAACCCACAGTCAGTAAATGCTGTGGTCCATGGACATCTACATCTATCCTCAATTAAGAATCAAAATGCAGACGTGTTATCCCTGAAGACGAAAATTGAATACCTGATTTCCAGTAAAAATAGTCTCCGGTATTCACACATAACAACACGAAATGCAGCATTATTCTGCTGTTTCACGCCAATATTCTGTGAGAGCGTAGTCCTACCCTGGTCGAATCGACCCAATCGTGCTGCAGCTATAATATAGCTATAATAAGTTGCATTATAGCTATACTAAAAACGGATCGTAAGGGAAAACGAATCGTTTTTTAATATAGAAATTCGCATTATAATTATGTTAAAAAAGGTACTGAGACAATTTTTCATTTTCTGCGTTCTTAGATGTAAATATTCTTGCCTAGTCTGAGTAATGTTCCTTGGCGGAAATTGCTATTAGGGGACTTGCTTTACTCAAAAAGCATTAATTTCCGGCCGCAAGATTTTTTTCTGATTTGCTAAGTATTGAGCGTGTCATACACAGGGAAACAAAAAACAATATCAGATTTGAAAAAAATTATAAAGCACGCAAAAACCATGAGCTTAGATGATCGTGTGAGAATACTAGGTTATTTTATATACGAGAAGGCAAACGAGAATGTGGCTCACCTTATGGAAACACTAGTCGAACAATTGCAACACTAGGGAAATTGCAGGTGTGTCAGCCTTTTAAAAAGGATAAGGCTCTTCTCTTGACGGTCCCAAAAACGTATTGGTCTAGAAATATCGATGGTGATAGCTGATTCCAAAAAGTACTCGTGCAAGGAATAAACTTCACAAAAGAGAAAATAAAATCGCACAGTGGTAGATTGTCATGCATCCAGATGTGGTAGTGGAACAATTGGAACAATTCACCAGTGCACTCATCGTAGTAAATACGATAAAAATGTCGATGCAACGTCTTAACGCCAGAAAACGCAACGACCGAGAATCGATTAACGTGGCAGAGCCATGCTGCAGTTATATTATTATGGCCGTAGCACGAATGGGTCGGTTCGACCGGGGTAGCACCACACTCTCACAGAATACCAGCGTAAAATAGCAGCTTAATGCTGCTGAATTTCGTATGGTGAGTGTAGAGAACCGGAGACTCTTTTTACTGGAAAAGAGGCATTCTATCTTAGTCCTCAGGGGTGGCTCTTCAAAAAGGAAGAGGATAACTTTTTTCAAGGTCTGACCAGTAAGCAGTTCTTGAGTTATCCTTAATTATTGATATTGAAGTCGGTTGTACAAAATTTTTAATTTTACTATTTGTGATTCTTAATCGAGGATAAATGTAGATGTCTATGGGCCACAGCATCCACTTACTATTAGGTGGACTGTGTGCTCGTTTGTCACCCTTACTCTATTTAAAAAAATCGGTCCGATCAGTAAAAATTCGGTCGTGGACGATTCGTGCCGTTCTTCGTTTCTTCTTCAATGGCAAACGCGCAAACCTGTCTTCTGAACTTCTAAGCGTGAAACTGGACTAGACTTAATCGCTCTCAATCTGACGTTACTTTTAACAAAGTCTGGACTTCAGAAACAAGTTTGTTCCGGTACTCGAAGATGTGTTGCCGATTAATATTTTCACAGCTGGTGTCAAAAACATCAATCACCAAAGCTTTTATCTCCATAACAATTAATGTTATTAGTTTGTATCACATCATTAATATGCGGGAGAAACTGGATTAGTGATAGCACGCGGCCTCGTGGAACACCAGAATTAATAAGTCGGAGCATGCACCGTCTATTAAGAATATAATGCTTCAATATACAATAAAATCGGTGATCCATTTGCATAATTTCTGTTTCGTTATGTTTTAACAAAGAGATTTAAATATATTTACTACTACTACTTAAATGTCTTTGTGTTTTAACCAAAGAGATTTAAACATATAGGTATACTAACTACTTAAATGTCTTTGTGTTTTAACTAATCACCGGAACCTCGCCCTTACATAACTTTTACTATTACAATATATAACTTACTGCTACTGCTTCTACCCATCTATGGGTCAGGTAAACTAGAAGATCAAATTAAGCCAGAGTGATCCCGACGGAAACAGTATTGGCGGTCGTTACTTAGTTGATAGTCCTGCAGGTATGTGCTGGCAATTCATTATGGATACCATTATTTTGGAAAATAAGGACGTGATGGCTATAGAACTTTTGTTAGACGGGTCTGTGCGATAGTCTTTTAGGACGAAGGGAGTGCTGCTAACTCCGGAGCAATATACACAAATAGATGCACTCATACATACACACATAAATATATACTTACATGTACACATCAATACCTAAACACATACAATACAATTCAAGCTAATATAAGCGTGTTAAAAATCAAGCATTTTGATTCATTACCCTTTTCTAGAGATGGTTGACGATTGCTGAGATATGCGAGAGAAAATGTGACTATAGAAATTTGTGTGAAAAATAATATGTTGCTTTTTTTTTAAAATCAATTTCAATGGGCGGCATCCAAATATTACACACCTATGCTTAGATATAAATTAAAATTGAAGAGTAAGAACTTGGATAAAATTTCCTGCATTTACTTGTGATTTATGTAAGTTATTGTGTTGTATTTCATATTCAAACTTTTAACGAGTCGTAATATAAATTACCTGTATCTCGTTGACTTTGCTGTAAAGATTGCTTTCCAGGTTTCGGCTTTGGCTGCGAGCTAGAGAATCCAAACTGTCCTATAAAAGAAATATATTTTATTACATGGAGTACCTGTCTAATATTTATTACCTAATTATAAAACTTACTTTTATAGACACATCATATTGTCTAATCTAATTTTTAATTTGTTATAATTATATAACTAAACATTCTAAGTGACCATTTATTGGCACACAGATGTTGTTTTGCTGGCGTGGGGCGAGAGAATTTTTACGAATCGCGCGATAGCTCTCAGTCTTGGTGACTTCCAGATTTCCGAACATTTCAGAGTTTCACTGAATTTGTAATAACGACCCGCATTAGACTAGAGTACCATACAACATAGCACAGGATATTAGTAAGCTGAAGTGGTAATGGGCCGGTCATATAGCTCGAAGAACCGATAACCGATGGGGGAGAAAAGTTCTATATGGCAGCCTCGTTCTGGCAAGCGAAACGTAGAGCGGTCCCCGACTAAATGAAGTGACGACGTGGTAAGACATGCAGTAAGTCGATAGATGCAGGTAGTCGATAGATCCACAAGAAATGCCACAAAACAAGGTCCTGAGACCTTGTTTTGTGGCATTTCTTGTGGATGCCTAAGTTTAGCAGTGGACTTGTGAAGGGGTGTTAAGGGTGAATGTGATGAGGTTACAGAATAATATCATAATGCAAAAACACAATTACACAAATTCTACCTAATTCTACTAATAATTATACTACTACATAATTTCTACCAGCATACGATTCCCACAAGTGATATACCAAGAGATATACTATTACACCGTAGATCTAATATATATTTTATCTATTAATTCGTTATTAAAAGTATCTTATATCTATCAACAGAAAGCGGACATTTTACGAGCGCTACAACAACAATTATGATGAATAAAATCGGTAACTGCCAATTATATGAATGCTTCGTAAACGTCGAACAAACGACACGATAAATAACAATTATTAAAAAGTTTTTCTGTCATTGCGTTGTTGAAATTAATGTGAGAATGAAAAAAATGTGCCTAGTTTTGTTACTAGGTATTATGCAAGAATATACAAGAAGTAAATTTATCTTTTTTATAAAACTGTAGTGACAATTGAACTTATAGTCCATTTGATGGTAAGTGGCTACTGTTTGGATATTTTTTGTCGATGGTTTTTATTAAGTCGCTTTCATGTGTCTGTTCAGGTCGAATTTATAGGTGGTAGAGCCATGCTGCAGCTATATTAGTAGTATAGTTGTAGCACGAATGGGTCGGCTCGACCGGGGAAGGATCACGATCTCACAGAATACCAGCGTCAAATAGCAGCTTAACGCTGCTGTGTTTCGTATGGTGAGTATTGACAACCGGAGACCCTTTTTATTGGAAATGAGACATTCCATCTTAGTCGAAGCATACAAAAAAGCTCAACAGGTTTTGGTTTGATTGGAAAATGGCTGAGCTTCTCTGCTGAAATTACGATGTTTTTTAATTTCAATAGTCTCGCGAATTATCCTTGGTAGGAATCGGTGTTATTTGAAATTTGATGTAATGGCGGGGACGATCTTGAACACTTTACAAACTGCAGACTTCCAGGAGAGGATTTCCTTTTTCTTTATTCTATGTACTCGTAAGAGAGATTACATTCACAACCTAGCTTGTACACTCCTGCATCTTGTAAAGTCTGCAGGAGTGTACCCGAAATATTGGGAATTTAAAAGTTAAAATTAAACGCAATAAAATCCGTAAAATTAGTTTAATTTAATGTGTATTCGCGTAAATATAAGAAATCATTATATAACAAGTTTAACAACTAGCATGTCGTCTGAATGGTTACATTAAAAGTTCATCTCCTATTAAACCACCTTAAGGGGTAAAATTTTTCTTTAAATTTATATGCGTCTACCCTTGAAGTATTTAATCTACTGAAAAAAAGAAGAATAATTAAAATTGATTCAGTGGTTTCCCAGAAATCGGTGAACATACATCAGAAAACATAAGCGTCGAATATAGAACTCGGTTAAAAAATTATGTGCGCAAGAATTACATGCCTTGATTACTTCCTCCCTTTCCACCATAAGACAACAAAGCGGGTAGACGGTCGGGGGGTTTCCACCTCTTTGATGTCGATATTCCACTCATTCGAACCTCAATTCGGTTTGCTTCGTCTTTCGTAATTCGAACAGCAAGGAGTGGAATAATTTGCCGGCGTCTGTCTTTCCATCCGATTAAAATCTGGGCGTCTTCAAGGGAAGAGTGAATAGGCTTTTGTATCACTAAGGCATTGTCGTTTACCATCTAGGGCTTCATCAACACTTACCCTCAGGTAGGTAGTTAAGCAATTGCTTATAAATAAGAAAAAAAAAACATAAGTGTTGATTTAAGATTACATTTTACATGTTGATAAACCTATTATTATTTTTCATGTAGGTTAGTAGAAGAATTTGAAATATTTTAAAATAATAATTTATTAAAATTAAGTGTATATAGTATGCAAAATCTAAGCTTTGTAAGTAATAATACTTTAATATATTTATAGTTTTAATACTAAGAACCATTCTTCAACTGCATCCAAATAGTATCAACTGACAATTCATCTCATTTCTTAACTAAAAAAGGTTTGTATTTTTTACGTTAGCATCATTATGATTTAGGCGATATATTTGAATATAGAATTAAATTTTGAAAATAAAATGGAGAAATGAATGAAATAGAAAAAGTGCAAATAATTAATTCTTCACCAACCTGTAATTGCTTAATTTGCATCTCGAGATCTTGTGCATCTTTTCTCAGTTGTTCATAGTTGAGACGCGCCTCTCGTATATCCATGCGGTCCAGCAGCATCTCTCCACGTAGAACTGGAGGCATAGTCTCCTAAATAAAGAGAGAGATGTAAGAGAAGGCAAATGAAAGGTAGAGCTACGTTGTAGCTATATTATGGTTGTAGCACGAATGGGTCGGCCTGACCGAGGAAGAACCATGCTTTCACAGAAAACCAGCATAAAATAGGAGCTTAATGCTACTGTGTTTCTTATGGTGAGTGTAGGGAACCGGAGACCCTTTTCACTGGAATGAGGCATTCCATCTTAATCCCAAGAGGTGGCAGCGCTTCTGCATTTTGATTCTTAATGGTGGATGTATATGGGCCACAGTATTCACTTACCATCAAATGGACTGTATGATCGTTTGTCATAATATATATATAATAAAAAGTAATATTCATTTAAATATGCTCATGGTATTTTTAGTACTTAACTCGAGTTGTGTTATTATTTATTTTTTAATTAAAAACGTATAAATATGTTGAAACTGTTGTTCCTCTTGTGCAGTGATCGATTATATTACTATATATAAACTTGTTTTCATCATTGTCATCATTATTATGTTATTTTGTATGTGCTAGTGCCACGCTGTATCAGTTCGAATTGTTCGAATCGTCCGGAAAAGTATCATACTTTCACAGAATACCAGAAGCGTAAAATAGTAATGTAATGATGTCAAGTTTTGCATGGTTAGTTTAAAGAACCGGAGATCCTTTTTTAACCGACTTCAAAAAGGGGGAGGTACTCAATTTAACTGTATGTTTTTTATGTTTGTTACCTCATAACTTATACTTTTCATTTGAAAGCTGGTGCTTCTCATGTGGTCCCATATAAATTTGATCAAGGTCTGTACAGTAGTTTTTGAGTTATCCTTAATAATTTATATTGAAGTCGGTTGTACAAAATTTTTATTTTTACCACTTGATAATCGTAATAAGCTGTTTCATAAGAGTTATTACGAATGACAACACATTTTCCGTATTTCGATTCTTAATTTATGATGGATGTTTATGGTATACAGAATCTTCTAAACTAAAGATGGTATGCTTGTTAGCCGAAAGCCCCAGAACGAGTGTTTTTCAAGTATAATGTATGTATGTATGTATGTCTATTTCTTTGGCACACTTCGTAGCCTAAATGGCGTAATGTTTCGTTAGATTCATTTTAGTTGTGGAAGTGACATGGTGCATACAATTGTTCCGTTTTCGGCAAACTTTTTTTATGCAGTTGGCTTTTTTTAAAAGACTGTTTTAACAATGGGCTTGTTTATTGCCCTTACTTATTTATCGTTATTACTACACTGTTTGTCGGAAACGAGGCATTCCATCTTAGTTCTTAGGGTTGACGTCGCATCTGCATTTTGATTCAGATGCGACGTCAACAGTGTGCACAAGAAAGGTATGGCTTTTCATTCAAAAGTATGTTATATAATTGGCTTAAAGAATATGACTACAATCAATGCGAAAACTTAATAGCTTCATAGGAATAACTTTATGTGCAGTGCATCAATCACGCTACTCATACACACACACACGCACTCACACACACACACACACGCACACACACACACACACACACACACACACACACACACACACACACACACACGTATATAGTGTTAAACTGAGTATTAAGTAATATATCAACACGTCCTAATGTATTGTCGACACAAAGTGTTACTGAATGGGAAGGAACTGACTCCTGAAATACAGGGTATCCTAGTTTAGGAGTCAGGGCTCAATGATGTAGTATGAAATAGAAGTGTCAAATAAAGATATTTATTCTTATTTGTTCTTAATCGAAGATAGATCAAGTGTGTTCGTTTGTCACCATTATTCTATAAAAAGTCAACAGCCTATATAGCCCGTTCGACAAAGATTTAAATTTTTTTCATTTGCCATTATTGTGATCAGAACCTAAGCACTATAGTTACTATAGTTACACTCTTTGCTATCTGTCTAGGTATTTTTATATATGCGTACTTTTTGAAAGGATCACTTTTTTAGATGCCATTACTACTGTACTGGATACTGTTTCCGTAAATTCCTTAATTAATTTATGTAATCCATTTATATAAATTCCTTAATTAATTACAGTAATCCATTTATGTATTGATAACTTGCCAATAAAATATTTTATCTGAAACAAGAACAACTCATAAATTTAGTGCCTTGTGAAGTGTTTCGTTTTATAAAGATAAACAAGAGTGATCAAAGTACGATATGATTCACAATCGACTGAATATTTTCAAGTCGTTGATCCGATGCATCGATATCGTTGGAAGTTACTGTTCGGAATTATTATTTTTTGCAATAGAATAGTTTCGTTTGTATGAAAATAAGAAAATTTTATGGCGAAAATTGTTATATTTGCGGTCTTTCAACTTCAAAAGTAACGAAACGAGATTCTAACTTCAGTAAGCGTTCTATTATTTTTGTATTAAGTTTGAAAAGGATAAATTAAACATTGTTCTAAATTATTTAGGTTAATTATTTTTAATAAGTTTGTTTGTGGAAAATGTCGTCAAAAATGTATACAGAATACGTTTTATAGAAAATTTCACTTACCAGACTATAAAGAAATTCTTTTTTTTAAGTACTATATATATAATAAAGAAAAATAATTTTGATTTAAGATATTCCCTTATATTCGAATAATTATTTTAACATTGTTTGACGTTGATATTTTGAATTTATTATATTATTTATATAGATAGATGTAGATATTTATATACATTTAGTAAGTATCTTTAGTGTAAAATTACAAAACAGTCATAATTAATTTAAGCTTACTTTATACATTTTCAAACGTACTGCGTATAATATACTTTTGATCAATGATGAAAATTGCGCTAAATCTATAATATAAAAATGGATCGCTGAATACGTTGCTAAGCGCAAATCTCGAGAACAGCTGAACCGATTTCGCTAATTCTTTTTTTATAATATTCCTTGAAGTACAAAGATGGTTCTTACGGAGAGAAAAATTTAAAAAATTGCCTGAATAAGTCTAAAAACAACACTTTTCTATATTCCCATACAAAAGATTCGTAATAATACTTAAAAATCAATTTGAACTTTAATACCATGACATAAAGTTTAAGTGTTAGCGGAGGGGTTCCGGGAAGGCAAAACAATCGAGTGACGTTAGTATCGTATAAATATTATATCTTTATATTTGTCAATATTTATACGATGGAAACTTAATTTATAATAAGTAAAAATAAAATGTAATATAATTAGTAGGTATCATAATAAGAAAGAAATTGTAATATTCATTGTGATTTTTTAGTGACTATTAAAAGAATTTTAAGTGTTTTGTAATTTTTATTTTTTGACATAATGTAACTGTTGACTTATCAACTTTCTTTTTTTTTATCTTACTAGCTGACCCGGTGTCTCGAATAGCGGAATAAGTATGAAAAAAAAAATAATTAAAGAATCGACTGTTAGGCGGTATGTAGTTGGCCGGGTCAGCTGGTTATTTATAGAAATGAAAGTGACAAACGAGCACTCAGCCAGCTAATATGATTTTAAGTGGATGCTGTGGATCATACACATCTACTATTCATTACAGTCTATAAAAGTCCACTACTGAACATAGGCTTCTTCCATAGATTGCCTCATAGGGGGGATTTTGCCATAGTTACCACGCTTGATAGGCGTGTTGGTGAACGCAGTTTTTATAATTTTTAATTGTTATCAAGACGATGCTGTTGCCCATCTCCTGTTTCAGTTTCCCCCTGTCGCCTTCGACACCCACGGGACGATATAGCGTAGTAGACATCTACATTTATCCTCAATTAAGAATTAAAATTCAGATGCGCTGGTGACCACAGCATCCGCTCCATCTAGTGGACTGTGTGCTCGTTTGTCACCCATATTCTATAAAAAAATTCCAAAGTAGGCTAGAATAAAACGTCAGATACAGAGGGCAAACAAACCACAACCAGATTCTAAAATCGATATTGGTGCTTCTATTTGTGTATTAGTACATGTTCTTTCTAGTTGTGTTTGTATCCTAGTGGTTGGTAGCATTCTTTTTCCAATTTCTGTTTTCAAGCAGCATTGCTCATACTGCTTTGTTGAAATTCGAAGGACAAGAGAGCCAATAAAATTACAGACTGTGAGACATTTTATCTTTGCCTTCAGGTGTGAAACGCATTGGTGGTATATTTTAAAAAAATATGGTTTCAACTCAGTGGTCTACGCGACAGCCACTCCCCATTTTTTCACTCTTTAGATTGTTAGCTCGTGTGCTTAATATTATAAAAAAAACCACAAATAAAGTTTTAAAGTTGGTCAGTTTATCTAAACACTAGGCAATTCGGTCGTCGATGATGACTCACCGCGGGCACGTCTAGCGGAGGATCGTCAGGTTCAGGTGGGTACGGCGGCATGAAGGCGCGTTTTGGTGTTCTCATTGGAGGCTGCGTGTTGAGCAGCGTGCGAGCGAGGTGCGCCAGGTCTGCGGTACTCGATACAGCACGCGATTGGGCGCAAAGGGACTCGTAGCGGCGGAGCTGGTTATTGCACTGTTTAAAAACATAAAATACTTAATATTAGCTTCCTACTGTGAAAACAATATAAATTGTAGCATGTAATTAAAATTAAAATGTTAAAAAAACACAAATAACTTCTAACAAACCAGTTTCGCTGAGTATTTTTACTTTCATATCTTCCATTAGGGCATAAGGAAAGAATACTACCTTTAAATCTTCCTACTTATATCACAATCAAATATATATCATAATTAAATTTAATATAGGTAGATGATTATGATCCACCATTTTGCGTTTTATTTCCCCTTGAAAGTAAGATTTCCTATATGAAACGTTGCCAAAATCGTAAATATAACCTTAATAAGGCAAATTATGAATTAATTAATTCCAGTTTGAAGAATATTAATTAGGAACAATTACTTTCCCCTCTCTCGTTAGAACAAGCTACAAATACTTTCTACGAAATTATATATGGGATTGTTATAGAAGATACACCACTCTCCGTATCAAGATATTTTGTATATTTTACACTTCTAATGTAACGACGAACTATGAAATTATGAAATTAAAGTCAATTTACATAATATATAATAAATGAAATTAAAGTCAATTTACATAATATATAATAAATGAAATTAAAGTCAATTTACATAATATATAATAAACTAAATGTTCTTTTAGTTTATTGGTAAATATTCATTTGAAGTGAGAATCAAAGATAAATTATTATTTTTATACCGATTACAAATTTACTAAAATATACTCGCTCCAGTGAAGGCAAATTTGCATTCACTGAGTTACTCCCATTAGACGGGGCGACGACCTTATGAAACATGCAAGGAGTCGATGTATTCAGGTGACTTAGGATCGTACTTTGGGTAGGAGGCAAGTTCAGCAGTAGATTGTAATAGACTGAAAATAAATGATGATTATGGTGATCCTTTCGTTGCTTTTTATTAATGAGTATTTAGGCTTCTTTCGATTTGTAAATGCCCAATGAAAACAAATTCTTAAAATAAAAAAAATATTATATGCTTAGAAAATACAATAAATGAACTGCGAATGTTCAGGTAAAAAGTAAAGTATTGTTACCTTGTCTGTGATGATTTCTCCTCCTTGATATATAGCTTCACTAACAGCTGTCGTCACATCCGTCAGAATCTCCTCTAACTCCTGCAATGAAAACACTTTTGAGAGAATTGCCGTAATATTTTACCTACGTTAAAATCTTTATTATTCATGTCATGCTTCTATTTAGGTCGTGGTAAAAATGCTAATGTAATTTAACGCGCTATAGCGTTATCTTTAGTCTGTGAAAATTAGTCAAATTAGGCTTTTCACCACGTATACTGAAAGCCTTTACCATTTTGTGTTAAATTTAAGCGAGAAATGAGTCAGAGTTTATATTAACGTCATAACTTCTAGATGTTCTATAGTATACTAGGTAACTTAAAATTTCGTGCTATACAAGAAACGGCCATTGATTTCGTAATAGATAACTTTTTACAGATGTATGCCAGACGATGATAAAGTATGCCAGAAGGTAAGTCGATGTTGTGACACACACTCGTATTTCTAGACTTAATTAAGGATCAAAGATGCTGTTAACTCTAAGGGATGCCTGGCTCGCAGAAATAATTAAAATTAAAAATTTTGTACAACCGACTTCAATATAAAGTATTAAGAATAACTCAAAAACTGTTGGTCAGACCTTAATCAAAGTTTATATGGGACTACACGAAAAGCACCAGCTATCAAATAAAAAAAGAATCATCCAAATCGGTTCACCTAGAAAAATGTTATGAGGTAACAGACATGAAAAACATACAGTCAAATTGAGTACCTCCTCCATTTTGAAGTTGGTAGAAAAAGGTTATGTTCGAGCAATCAGCAATCAATTAAAATGCGTTTATTAAATAACGAGAGGAGCATTAGCTTTTATATTTACCGTTTTCTTTAAAATGGCTGAACCGATTTAAATAAAGATTATATCTTCAGCGGTTCCCACATAAATCTAAAGAAATAATTCCATCCCTCGTTCTAAGGATAGAAAAAAAAATTAAGAAAAAGGAAAGAAAAAGAGTAAGTATAAAATAAGTTAAAAGTGAAGCTGCCACAAAGATGTAGGTACGTTACGATATAAATATCACTGATAATAAAATATAATTTACTGTGATAAGAGGCATGCGATGTGAAGACAGTTGTTTGAACTCTCTTCAGCAGGGAATAATTTGTGCATATTTAGTTTTTTTATGAATATTTAAAATATTTTTTATACTTTAAAAAGGTGGATTAGGGATATTTCTTATGTACAATAGTACGCAATTCTAGAGTTCAATTAATTGAATATAATTTCAATTACTTGGGGTTCTTGTTCATCAAATTCAAAGAACTTTATTCCAAACGTATTTGAATAGATAGCGACGTTGCAAAGGACAGGTAATCATAAAAACAAATAACTGGCAGATAGCTTGTTTTAGTTAGGTATATGAATCTGTGTTTAATAGTTTGTTACTATATTGTTAGTGTTTGATAGTGTTTGATATAGCCTGTAACAGTTGGCACCCATTTGGTTGCAGCAGTTGTACCCTGTAACAGTTGGCAGCCATTGTTGGGCAAAGGCGGTTACCAAATACCAATACTGCAAATGCTACATTATGTCCACAGATTAATTGAGCAGTACCGCACGTGTCGCATCTTAGACGCTTTTCCACACCGTCGTTCTGAATACATCCTGGATTATGTTCGATGTAAATAGGTCATACAGCGTGGGACGGTGACCTAAGACATTCCCTTTCATACTATAAACGCCCAATCGCCAATCTGTTAACATCATTACTATGAGTGCGGCTCATGGTAGTGTTTATGGATTAATGAAGATTATTACGAAATCTACGTGTCGAAATATGACGACAGATGTATTTACACTGAGACCAAATTGCCAACTATTGCTTTTCCATTTATAAATAAATTAAATTATATATATACATACTAAAGCAAATTTATGTTGCAGACGTGAATGGCAGAGTCGGGAAGGGACACCCTACAGGAAGGTTTATCGACCAAATGATCGCCCATTTATTGAAAATGGGCCAGATTAGGAGTACCTTTATCAGACGATCGTGTATGCGTAGATATATGGATGTAAAGGAGGCGAGAGAAGTGTGTCCGGATCGTGCCAAATGGAAGTCCGTAGTCTCTGCTTACTCCTCTGGATGACAGGTGTGAGTGCTTATGTATGTATGTATGTATATACATACTAAACTGAGCAATCATACCGCCGTATATTTCAGTGCGTGTTGGCGGATGACATATATCTTCATAGTATTTTATTTCTTAGATATGAACGTGTCCTCATGGTGTTTTCTTTACCGGCCATCACGTGGCACTTTAAATTGCAATAAACAATTTCATTGGTGCCGACAGCACAGACTAGACAAGTTACTACGTAACCGACAGGGATCGAATTCGGGTAGCTGGCGTAAAATTTTTACGGGGTGCGCATAGCCCCCGTGTTCCCACGGCTCTATAAAACTTTCAGATGAGAGGAGGCTTGAGCCCAGCAGTGGGGTGTATAAAGCCTGCATAAAATAATAAATAGAAACATTTTACATAGAATTTTGTTCAGTATTTTCATGTTACTACTAGATATCGGCCTGTACGGTGACAGGAAAAATAATATTGATCCCTATGATTGACAGGCTGACTGACGATCACATTTCCAGATGCCTTGCTGACGCTGCTCACGTTTTCTAGGAATCTTAGGCTAGGTATTTTATCACCTAGCATATGAGCTGGCATAACGCCATCTAACGTAAGCAAGAGGTCTTTCTGGCCATCTCCATCGCCTCTTCTTACATCACCCGCGAGATAAAATGTGGTGATGGATTCTCTTACGACATCATTCAACACCACCAATGTTGTTTGATTTGCAACGTTTAGTTAAATGGGAATAAACCGAATTGCCAAAACGGCTAAAATGCATTACACATAAGAAACCCGTTATGAAATAAATTAATATTTATATAAGTGCTTAACTTTATATTCCTTACGAATATTACTAATCTTAGTTGCTCGAAGCTCTAGATTTATATGACAGTTGAGTCTCTGAGTAAGATGTATCTATATCTTGTAATACCCGAAGAAAGAAAATTATGTTAATCTGATGTAGCTTCTCAAAAATATTGGTAGGATGACAATATTTTAAGTAAGAAGTATCAAAAATAAAAAAAGTAGTCAGACGTCGAGTAGTAAAATAAATTTAGTAGTATATTCGACTCAACATTGATGTGTTTACGTTATTCTACAGAATAAATAATAGTGGTTATACGCAGCACATGTGTGATAATTTCAAAATGAAGAAGGTTGTTGCTTTATTTATACTATTAAAGTAAATTAGTAATTGTACAAAACCATTTTACAAAGAAACTACGAGTATTAAAGGATAGATTGACTTTTTTACGTGAATATAACAGGTCCCATATCGCACATTGTTTTCAATATTATACAAAAAAACTGAGTTAAAAGTGGTTTTTCAATAATTGATCGACTTGTCTAATGAGCAACTATTAGAGATTTATTGAATTTTTTTTAACGCGCATGTCGCATCTAAGCGGACAGTTTTTGTAGGTCACGACGTATCTTGTCATGTATATCTCAAAACATACAGCCATATGAGGAAAGTCTATGTCTTTCAGCGAGCTATGAGAGGGCTATGCTCTGAGTTGCTACGCTGCGTGGTGAACTTCGTAATTAGGATATCTTTAGTAAAACTAGATTACCCGACATTGCCAACGGATTAGTAAGCTGAAGTGGTGATGGACCAGTCATATAGATGGAAGAACCGATAACCATTAGGGAAGACGGGTTCTCGAGTTGCAACCTTTTCGAGGTAAGCGAAGTGTAGGACGACCTATCACTATGTAAGAGATGCAGGCCTTGTGGCCTTCTTTGGAAGTCTTTGTTCAGCAGTGGACTTGTGATGCTGTAATGTAATGATGGATGATAATCACGTTTTTTATTTAAATTCTACGCAGCTAGTTATCAATGAAAAAAAATTTAATATTTAAATGTATAAATTAAAGCATTTTCTACTAACTGTAACAAACATAACGCCTTCTTAGTATTGTAAATTGAAAGAAAATGTTATGAAGACTATGAACCTTTTTAATTTGGAGAGTTCTTTATACTTTATTTTTAACCACCCCGTCTCTACTTATATTCTAATTAAATTTTCTTTAAAGAAAATGAAGTATAAAATAATTTATAATTTTATATCGCATAAATTAGGTTTTTCACCAAACCGTAAGCGAACTGCTAGAGATGGGTTTCTCACTTTGTAGGAGTGGTCCACACCTATCAACTTTTCGTTTGGTGACTACTTGCAAATTCGTTGCACAGTTTTTTTTATTAAAAAAAACTACTAAATCAAATTAGATTACAGGTGATTATGCAAGCGAATGAAATCAATTGGTTTAGCGTCGCGTAGTTTTGAGGTATATCTGACGAGAAGATGTGTCGTAATTTCCCGAACATAGGTGTGACCTATGCCGGTAAGACCTATCCATTGGGAAACACTATTGAGGTCATTGAGCATAGTGCTTAGGTCCTCCAGCGATTCTGCCATAAGGACTATATCGTCGGCAAATCGAAGGTGAGTGATGTACTCGCCATTGATGTTGATACCGTATCCTTTCCAGTCCAGAAGCATGAAAACGTCTTCCAATGCAGCGGTGAAGAGTTTCGGGGATATAAAGTCACCCTGTCTTACACCTCTCTGCAGTTGGATAGGTTTCGTACTCTGGTTCTGTACTCGGATAGCCATCGTAACCCACACGTAGACACATATTATATTACCCTTTTTGAAAAAGTAGAATTGGACTGTAAGGTATCCAAAACGAGGAACTATTTTGAACTTTAGGCTTTTAAAAATAAGACTCTATACAGCAACCTTTAGATGGGAATTTTATAAAGCTATCTTGTAATAATGTAATATGGTTTTAGGTTATTTATCATATTTTTTGATAATAAGCTCTTTGCATTGATAATAAGCCCTTTAGAATATTTTGCATATTACAGACACTTGCATTCTTCTCCTCTACCTGCCTCTTTTCAATACTATTTCCCACCAATACTGACGGGTGGACGTAAAACAGACTGCACCGCGGCCCTTTTTACGAAACGTCATTTCCGTGAATACACCGAATTATTAAGTGTTGGTGAAGTGTTTGCCTGACTCTGTGCCGATTGGTAACGTACTACCGTTTTGCCTACTATTCTTTTGCATTTCCTAAATGATATTTCTATCACTAACACACATACAAACATTCTAGACGTCCGATACAAATACTAGGATCGTCAATTTGCCAGATAAGCTTGACAATTACGGCAAATTCTCTCTAGAGTGGTAGAGATGCAGTGTTCTGCCTTACACTCAAGGTTGCTCAAGGTTGCTGACACTCAAGGTCGCTCAGCGAGCAATGGAGAGGGTTGTGCTCGGGGTTTTCTGCGTGATAAACTTAGAAATGAGGATATCCGCAATAGAACCAGAGTGATCGACATAGCCCAAAGGATTAGTAAGCTGAAGTGGCAATGAGTTGGCCATATAGCTCGAATAACCGATACCGATAAGGTTCTCTAGTGGCAGCTTTCTACCGGTAGGCGCAGTGTAGAGCGACCCCTCACTAGATGGAGTAACGACCTGGTAAGACATGCAGGAAGTCGAGTTGATGGATGCAGGTGGCTCGGGACCGTGCTTTGTGGCATTCTTTGGGGAGAGGGCATTCTATAACAGTGAAGCGAGCGGGTATCATCTAGTATACCTATAAATATTCCAAGAAAAGCTTTTTATCATTAGGATAGGTGGAACAATAGTTTATCTATAAGTAAGTCTTGTAAAAAAACATGATAGTAGAATGTTTTCCAAGATATACGAAGCTTAATATATAAATAGGAATTTTATAAAGGGGATGAGTCGCTCGCGTCCGTAGGCTTCGACCACCTAATCCTAGACCCACCCTACACGTGTCCCCCGGGTGGTGCTAAACGAGCGACAAAGCCGAAACAACAGACTCGGCTCCTCGCCGTATGGTAGCGGCGTAAAATCTACCACCCCTTAGTTCGCACCATGAGCCAAGAAGAAAAAGAAATGGCCCCGAGTTCCCGGCGCCCCTTTAATGGGGCAGGGGTGCGAAGAATCTCCGGGAGAAAAACCGGCGACGAGGTTCGCCACCCGTCACGTCCTGTCTCCGGGGGGGGGGGGGGGGGCGAAAAGTGGATTGCGGAGCCCCGTCTGGCTACGCTGAATGTATGCGGAGCAATGAATGATAAGATGGGTGAAGTATGCGAAATGATGAATGATAGAGGAATAGATGTGTGTTATGTGTGAACGAGACGAAACGAAAGGGAAGAGTTGTCACTGCACATGGCATGTATACCGCTTTCTGGTCTGGAGTAGACGAGACCGAGAGGGCATGCCAGTGAGTCGGTGTCATCCTTTCAGAAAGAATGGGTCAATGTGTGAAAGAGTATGAATGTGTTAGCCCAAGGCTGCTATGGATACGAATGAAAGTGGGCTTAAAGAAGTTGTTTGTGCTAGAGGTACGCCCCAGATATGTCTAAGCTCACTTATATCCGAGAGCAGTTTTGGGACATGGTAAGGCTGGTGTTGATGAAATGTAAGGAAAATGAAAATATTATTATGTTAGGAGATTTTAATGGAAGGGTTGGGGTGAAGAGGTTATGAAAGGATATTAGGAACGTTTGGCGATGAAAGAATAAATGAGAATGGTGAAGACCTCCTCACCGTATGTGTGGAAAAGACTCTTTTTGTGGCGAACACTTTCTTTCGCCATAAGAGGATTCACATGTATACATGGGAAAGAGGGGATGATAGAAGCGTGATTGATTTTATAATTGTGGATGAAAGAATGAGGAGCGCAGTGGTAGATACCAGGGTTTACCGGGGGTCCAACGTAGGGATGGATCATTACTTGGTCTTATGCCGAATTAATGGTCTATTCAGACGTTGGCGGCATCGGACATCTGTGTCTACTACTGCGTTACAGCGTATAAGAATAGAGAGGTTACAAGATGAAGGTGTGAAAGAGAAGTATAAATGCAGACTGATGGAAAATATAAGTGGGTTGAATGAATTATGTATGAATGATTTAGAATTGAAGAATGTATGGAATAATATTAAGAAAGTTTTGGTGGATGCAGCCACCGAAGTATGTGGTGTAAGTAAGAGAACAAATGAAAGGAAAAGTAATACGTTGTGGTGGGATGATGAGGTACGGATGGAAGTTGGAGCAAAGAAGAGAGCATGGCTAGATTTACTAGTAACTAAAGCTGGTAATTCTGGCGGTATGAATGATGAGATTGAAAGAAAAAAGGCAGACTTTAGACGTATAAATAAGAGAGTAAAAGAAGTTGTTGAAAGGAAAAAGCAAGAAAGGATAGATAAAAATGATAGAAGGATATCTGATAACTTCCAGTAAATTATTAAAATGTTCTGGAAGCTCGTAAGAACTGCCAGGGGAAATTCAAAACAGCCTAGAATGAATGCTATACGAGACGAGAATGCTGCTGCATGTTGAATGATGAAGTTTCGAATTTAAAGAGATGGAAGGAATACTTTGAAAGCGTGTTTAAGAATGAAGAGTCGTCTGAAATAAGTGAAATAGAAATTCCGGAAGAAGTGGAGAGAGGTAGGGAGATAAGTGTAGATGAAATAATGAAAGCAAGGAAAAGCATGAAAGCAGGTAAGGCAGTCGGATATGATAGAGTATCACTCGAAATGCTAAGGTCTGGTGAGATTGCAGGCCTGCTGTACACCTTGTTTAATTTATGTTGGGAACTGAAGCGGGTACCGGAAGACTGGTGCAAAGCCGTTATAGTCCCAATGTATAAGGGAAAGGGGTCGTAGCAGGACTGTAAAAACTACCGTGGTATCAGCTTGCTTAGCATTGTGGGTAAACTGTATGCTAAGGTGTTAATTGAAAGAGTTATGGAAGAAACTGATGGAAAAATTTGGGATGTGCAAGCTGGATTTAGAAAGGGGATAGGGTTTACGGATCAAGTCTTTTCCATGCAAATGATAGTGGAGAAGTTTTTGGCCAAAAACCAGAGTTTTTTGTGCGTTCATGGACTTGGAATAGGCTTATGACGGAGTGGACAGGAATGTGTTATGGCAAACACTGAACTCATTTGGGTTGAGTGCTGGCTTGATACAGGCATTAAGGTCTCTTTATAGGGACTCTAGTGCTTGTGTCAGGATCAACCGGGTCTACTCGGACTGGTTTGGCATTCATAAAGGTGTCAGACAGGGATGTGTGGCTTCCCCGTGGCTGTTTAACCTATTTATGGACAGTTGTTTGCAAACTTTGAAAGTAGAAGAGTGTGGGTTGAGAATGGGTGAGTCAACCGTCAAATGCCTTTTGTACGCCGATGATCAAGTCAAATTTGCATCGTCGGCGGCCGAGTTGCAAATGATGGTTACTTTAATGAATTGGTCATTGAAAGAAAGGGGTATGAAAGTGAACGCAAGTAAGACGAAAGTGATGGTTTTTGAAAGAGAAGAAACTTTATGTGAAATAAGAATAGAAGGGGAGTTGATTGAGCAAGTGGATGAGTTTGTATATTTGGGATGTTTATTTAGCAGGGATGGTAGATATGACAAGGATATAGAACGACGAGTGAACGCAGGAAATAGAGTAAATGGGGTTCTACACGCTATTATGAGGAGTTAGAATGTGTCAACTAAGGCACGTACGGCAATTCATAATGCTGTGTTAGTCCCTACTTTAATGTATGGTAGTGAAAGTTAGGTCTGGCAGAAGAAGCATGAGAGTAGAATAAATGCTGTAGAAATGCGTTCCTTAAGGAGTATGCTAGGGCTGAATCTGAATGACAGGGTGAGAAATAGTGTGATAAGAGAAAAGTGTGGTTTGCAAGATGACGTTGTGACAAGGATTAAGAAAGGAATGCTTCGGTGGTTTGGTCATGTAGAAAGAATGAACGAGGAAAGAGTGACAAAGCAAATTTATGTTGCAGAAGTGAACGGCAGGGTCGGGAAGGGACGCCCTAGACGAAGGTTTATCGACCAAATCGGCGATACATTAAAAATGGGCCATATTAGGACCGACGAGCGTGTATGCGGAGATATATGGATGTAAAAGAGGCGAGAGAGGTGTGTCAGGATCGCGCCGAATGGAAGTCCGTAGTCTCTGCCTACCCCTCTGGGTGACAGGCGTGAGTGTTTATGTATGTATTATGTATGTAATATATAAATTTCATTGGTTGGTTATAGTCTAATAAAGCAGATTATAGTATAACTATGTTGTATAGTTATACTTTTTTTATAAACTAAAAACTTTTAAAAAAAACTAAACTAAACGAAACTTAACTAAAACTTGCCTGAAGTATAGTGGGTAGAGTATGCTTATGATATTGGTCAATCATGGCGTTGGTCGCTGTCAGCTGCTGCACGTAGTTGTTATGGGAATCGTAGTACGCGGCCAGGGCCGCCGTATTCTGGTTGTTGCAGTAATTAAGGAAGGCTGCACGATATTCTTGACGACTCTGAAATGGTTCAATTTTTTTGCAATTAGTTAATATTTAATAGGAGGTCTAACATGAAATGTGACTTAAAATGTCTTCTTCATCTACTTGTACTAGGTGACAAAGTAGAGTAGATGTACTATGTGGATGTACTTTCTGAAACCGGAGATCCTTTTTACTGGTAAAGAGGCATTTCATCTTAGTCCTTTGGGGTGACAATGCATTCATATTTTGATTATTAATCGATGGTACATGTAGATGTTTATGGGCATAGCATCCACTTAAAATCAGGTGGGCTGGGTACTCGTTTGTCACCCTTATTCTATAAAAAAAATCTACTGTGCGGACATTAAGTGAAGTGAGTATATCAGATAAACCATTCTTAAAAACGGGTCACATCTAGTGAAATTCCGAAGTCAAGCAGCATAAAGTTGCATTAGTTTATCGAAATAATTATTTAGTCGTTAAAAGTACAGTGAATATCTTAAATAGTATTAAAGGCAAAATTCGCGTTGAATTGTATTTGGAGTAAATGATTACATATTGTGAGATTATTCTCAATTCAATCAATTAAATATAGGAAAAGATTGTTTTAGTTCATAAAGAAAAAAGTAAGTTACAACCCGAGATATAATTTATTACTTTAATCATCGTGTTTCATGAAATTCTGCTATAAATTTTAAACGAATTACAAAGTTATGTATTTCAACAAGCGCTCGTAATAATAAATAATTAAATAAACGAGCATCTACGACGCGACTTATCTAGTCCTCACTCAACGATGACATTATGACGTACTCCTTCCACTTTTATGTTTACATTAAAATTAATTTACAGAAAGGGACTCACATTATTTATTTTAGTAAAATATTAATCAATTATATTTAAAATTTTCTAACATTCCACTCAATCACAGTGTCAAATTTTAGGTGTATCAATTGCAAGTATAAGCTATTTAATAAATAGAGAATTTATCAAAATCGATTCAAAACTGTCGAAGATATCGCGTATCGTTTATACGTGGTAGAGCTATGCTGCAGCTATATTATGGTAGTAGCACGAATGGGTCGGCTCGACCGGGGAAGGACCATGCTCTCACAGAATACCAGCGTAAAATAGCAGCTTTACGCTGCTGTGTTTCGTATGCTGAGTGTAGAGATCCGGAGACCGTTTTTACTCTAAACGAGGCATTCCATCTTAGTCCTCACGGGTGACAACGCATCTGCATTTTGATTCGTAATCGAAGATAGATGTAGATGTCTTTGGGCCACAGAAACCACTTACCATCAGGTAGACTGTGTGCTCGTTTGTCACTCTTATCCTATAAAAAAAGCATACATACGAAAAAGAACATGCTATCTTACAAATTATATAGACATTTATAAGACAGGAAAGATTCTGAAGTTGCACTGAATACCATCACATAATGGTATATTATGTTACAGTCAAACTCATAACCGGTCAATACCACTTTAGACTGTAAAAAATAAAACAAAAGTAGTTTTGACTAAGGTTGTTGGTTGATTGGTGGTGAGTTTTGACTGTGACATATACAAGGTACCGAGAAGGCTCATCAATTAGCAAGTATGGCATCATCACAAGGTGTACGTGTACTCGTATAAACTATTTCTGGGGGCACGGCAGTGCCCCCGTTAAGTCGAGCAAAAAAGCGGCACGGCCGTAGCATCCTTTTCCCGAAGCAGTTCAGGCCATTTTCGACCCCCTATAACTTCGTTGTGGATAAAACTAGAAGCCTGAATTAACAATCTAATTTAATATAATATGTATTACTTGTGAGATTTTCATGCGAATTGTGTTTTCATGCGATGACCAAGTAAATGTATGTATTTAAAACATAAAAGATTTTTAATATTGATATGGTCACTTTAAGATGTTGTTAGGTTAGATAATTACGTAATAACTTAAAACAGTAGGACCCTTAAGTAGGGACTGAATAAATTAATTGACTTAGTATTACATGGATCTCACAACTTTTTACGGTTTAAGAACTGAGTTGCGAGACTTGGTGTTTTTAGAAGTTATGTTTTTGACGGCATTAAAATTGTCTCTTTAAAACTATCTCGTGAAAATTGTTTCAATAGCTGGAGAGATAAATTCGATCAAAATTAAAAATAAAAAGGAATATACGGTATAAATCAATAAAAGCACAACTGCCTGCACATAGATTACGACCTGGCTACTTTCCAGCAAGAAATTTCGCATATCTAATGCGTAAAGTTTATTAACAAAACTGTGTTTCATGTGATGTTGTTTGATGCTGTGCAACATTTGTTGATGGAATGTTCCTAGAATAAAAGCAAGGGGGATGTTATAATAGTGAATTTAAAAATAATTGCCTAGATATAGATATAACGGGAATGCAAAGCTTGTTAAGTAAGCCGGCGTATGACGAAGCTATTATGTTATACGATTTGGCTATTCATAGACAGCAGTCTTAAAGAATATTTTATTAATAGTATAAATGTATGTATGAGAATATATGTGCGTATTTATTCATAATACTATATCATAAGGTATTTTATTACATACTCATATATATGTGTATTTAATGAGTTTATAATGTTTTGTGTCAACCCTTGTATGAATGAATAAAGGTTAAAAATAAATAAATATTTTATTTGTTGTTTCTGAAGAATGTATATATAGTTTAAGTTTCGATGGGTCTGACATATCCCTAGAGGACAAAAGTCCCTAAATAAATCAAGATAACAAAAAATAATATACAGTCGTACTAGCTAGCCAGGCAGACGTTGTTCTGCACTTTTAGACAACCCTTCCTATGAAAAAATCCTTAAACTCGTAATAAAAAAAACATTGACTGTCACTTATCGGGATAAAAAACAATCATATCTCTCAAGTTGGACCAAACTGCACAGAGTGTGCAAAATTTCATTGAAATCAGTTCAGTAGTTTAGGAGTTCATCGCGGACAAACAACCTGACACGTAATTTTTATACATTTTATTCACAACTTCCTTCGTTTTTGAAGTCGGCTAAAACAGATAAACAAAATCAACAGGAATATTATAACTTCGTTTAACATTTAAAGGAATGAACTTGAACGTTTTGTTACCGCGTGAAACCTAGTCTGTTATATTCTGATCTCACGTATTTCCTTTCTGAATGCATTTATACGTACGTTTTATCACACCTTTTGTATGAAGATGTTAAAATTACTAAGCTAAGCGCCTCGTGAAAAATAAAAACGATGTGTTTTACGTAGTTTCAAGAGCAATTGTGTGTACAATCTGTTACCCCTAATCCCAACAACTATGCGATGGCTGACCGCTCTTCACTAGGTAAGATACATAATTTTTATTTTTCACAAGAATATCAGCTAATTAATTTTAACATATTTAATATAATGATGGCTCAGTGGTGCAATGTCTTAGCATTGTTGCTGCGCTGAGGGCCGGTGGTTCGAAACCCGCACGCGACACTTATTAAATGGCCTACATATAATTTTTCCGGGTCTGGATGTTTGTCCTTGTGCAAATTATGTATGTAAACTGCCTTCAAGATATAGGATAATATCCTAGGGTGTGTGTGTGGGGAGAGGGGGAGAGGGGAGGTAATGAGTATAAAAATGGATTTTCTCAAATTAATGCCTGATTCTATTAACCATCTTTTGTTTTTATGAGAAGTTTTTGTTCTGCTTGTAATTGAATATTTGTAACTTGTTTTTACATTCCGAAGTTAAAGTAGGGAGAGTTTTAATATTCCTAAGTGCTAAGTTACACGGAATAATAGAACCCACTGGAGGAGGAACTTTTTGGTAGTTCTTAATCCATCACAAATATACAGATTTCCTTACAATTTTACCATATTTTCCTAATCTTCGTAAATGAACACTTCGTTTATACTCGTAATATAGTGACACATAAGCTAATGATTTGTTATTCTATGAAACCAGCTGTTTACTATCGAAGGTGAAATGCGACATAGTCTGTAAGCCGCTTCATGGCAGAATCAGAAAGGAGGGTGGTAGCAACTCTAACGAATTCCTAGAGCGAAAGTAGCCCTGCTATCTCGTAATAAAATAAACTTGAGATTAACAATTTCACTGGTGCAGACGGAGATCGCGCTCGGGTTTTTTGCGTGCTTTGAAATTTCAGACGGCAAAAAAAAAAACACAAAAAATACGTTTATAGCAATTTAAAACGAGTTAGCTATTATCATGATCGAAAAGTGGAAACTGAACCCTGCTACGAGTTGGATATTGGGCCGAGTTTTTAACCCGCATTTTTAGAAAGCAGGCTTGCGTTTCGTTAGGATATTGTTTTATGTAAAATATATACATGAACATTTTAGAAATATCCGTTGATCATTACAATATGCTATATTTGACGTGGTAGAGTCACGCTGGAGTTTTATTATGGTTGTAGCACGAATGGCTCGGCACGACCGGGAAAGGATCACGGTCTCACATAATACCTGCGTAAAATAGAAGCTTAATGCTGATGTGGTTTGAATGGTGAGTGAAGAGAATCGAAGACCCTTTTCACTGGAAAGGCATCCTCCTTAGTCCTCAGGGTTGACCACGCATCTGCAGTTTGATTCTTAATCGAAAACAAGTGTGTGAAAAGACGTCTATGCGCCCCAACATCCACTTACCAACAGCATCAGGTGGACTGTGTACTCGTTTGTTATCCTTAATCAGTCAAATACAGAAAAATATATTTAATAACAAGCAAAATATGGAGGAAAATATGTCTTATCACAATATAACTAATAATCTTATGCTTAGGCCTACACCTAAGCATAAGATTAAGGCTTCAACGGAGAGTTCAGTGTGACCAAGCATAAAGAACAAACACACACTCTTCTACAGTAACGATAGCTGCGGTCTCTACAAAGCATGCAGCAGGCGCCATTGCATCATCCGCATCGCCGAACGCTTTAAGCCAGGGTTTCTCAGAGTGTGATACGCTAACCCCTATGGGTTCACGACAAGACTTACACAATAGCGGCCGACTAACTGACTCATACATGCTAGATGCA